AACGTGGGAAAGTAATATCGTAGACAATGCATTATCAACTTTTTTTATTATCCATAACGTGGGAAGGTAATATCGTAAGGAATGCATGCATCATCAATTTTTGGTTTAGTAGTTAAACAGTTGGGTGGGGGGGGGGGGGAACTTTAGCAAAAATTAATTGCCATTTTCCAAAATTTATGAATTTTTTTTATGTTTTGGGCTTGGACCCAAATTTTGGTCGGACTTAAAACCAAGATAATTGAAACATTGTAAAACCAGACCTACGCATCTTGAAGCCCCCAATGAAATTGACGGATTTGAAACGAGAGATGGTCAGCCTAATGTTGTTTAAACTTTAGTTCTTGCATATGCATCTCACGCAGAAGCTGGTCACGGTCAAGGAGTCGCATCCCTAGGCGTAGCCGTGACGATTGTGGTCATAAGCGGAGCAAAAGCTATAGCTGTAATCACATCATTTAGGGAGATTGAATTTATAATTTGATTAATCACAAACTTGGTTAAATTTTACAGACTTGATCAAATCGTAAAAAAATATTGGTTGGTTCATGCTGTTTTTTTAACTTGAATTCTTGCATGCATTTCATTGAACGTTCCTTTCATAACATATTGATATCTTGCATCTTATTCATAGAAACAATTTCAAACATGATTTTTGCAGAATAATCAACAATTACAATTATGAATCTTTTAGTTTTTTTGTGGAAACTAATTTAATCGCTTTTTTAACCCACATCTGTCCTGTCTTGTTCGCATAGTTCTTGAAATAAAAGTTGAAGAAGAGAACCAAGAGAGAAAAATTAAAGGCAGCGTTGAAGTAACATCCCCAAATCCCTGAGCAACCCGACCCGAAAAAGAGCTCCGGGAGCATCAAAACAGATAACCCGAAGCCCAAAAGAAACTGCACTATCTGACAATGCGTCACCAACCTCTTCCACTTGGGCCTCGAACCGAGGGCGCAGAGGAAATAGTAACCGTACATGATGACGTGGACCGTCGAGTTCATCATGATCCCAACCGGAAACATCGATTGTCGGGTTCGGAGCCAGACGAAGCACATGACAACAACAGTCGCGTGGTGGTACACGTGGAGAAACGAGAGCCGTTGGATAGATTTCCCGAGTATGATGAGGATCGTGTCTACGAACTCGAGGATCTTGGAGAGGTAGAAGACTTGAGCCCAGAAGAAAAGCGGTCTGGTTGGTTTCACGTCGAGTGGGAAACAAATGGCGTGGAAGAAACGCACCTTAGGATCCGAGATTATGGAGAGAGTGCAACCGACGGCCATGATGAGGGAGAGGATGCAGAGGATGAAGCTGTGGACGGCTGTGATTGGTTTGAGAATGCGGGGACCGAGTGCAGGGAGTGAATCAATGGCGAAGCGGAGGAGGAATGTGGCAGTGAGGTAAACATAGACTACGACGAAGACGAAGAAGACTGTGGAGCCTAGGGTTTCGCCTTCAGTCCACGTGAAGTTTGCTATGTTGGGGTGCTTCACGAGCCAGTAGGTGAGGGTAGAGTAAACCGATGCCATTTGGAGGAACTCAAGTTTGAGTATTTGGGAGAGAGAATATTTATAATTTGAAACAGAGGGAATATATAAAAGTTATAACGTCTTTCTTCATGAATGGAAAACCAATGTCGTAGCGTAAACCGGTGCCATTACGTTGGAAGATGGAATAAACCGATGCGATTGCGTCTCCGCTTTCCAGGCGCTGGTCTGACTTCGGGAGAAGTTAATTACAGGACATGGGAGAGACACGAATGGTTCAAGTGGAATCATATATCTTTTTCAACCTATTCCAGTCATTATTTGTTTCATGGCATAATCAATCGTAGCTATTAAGTTAGGGTGCTAAGCGATTTTTTTATTATAAATTGTATTGTGTTAATTAGAACCCCACATTTTAGAATTCTAAATCTCTTAAACTAGGACTTTTTATTTAAGTATTTTGTGTATTATTTAATTGCTTTTAACTTTTTAGAAATCCATTAAAAACCACTTAACAACTACCATTGAATATGATAATGTATTGGGTATTAATATATATTAGACCATCCACATTGGAGACCAAATGTGGATGTCTCTAAATAAAAAAATATTAAAAACACACTCTCTCTTCCTTTTACTCAACTTTATACTTTTTCTTTCATTCTTTTACTCAACTTTTATAAATTTTATATTTTAACACACTCCAACTTTCATCCATTTTTTCTCCAACTTTGTCTTCCCCGAGACACCCTCTCTCCAATAATACCTACTATCTCATCTCTTTACTCAAATTTTATTAATTTTATATTTCAATACACCCCATTATTTCAACCAAAAACACTCTCTTTCTTCCTTTTACTCAATTTTTAATAATTTTATATTTAAAGACACATACAAATTGTCTCCAATGCAGATGCTCTTATTCTGATAAATTTTATCTAATTTAATTAATTATTTAAATATTGTATTACTAGACATAATGAACCTATGAAATAACAACACATGGCATTAGAGGTTCTAAAAAATTTACAAAGATTGTAATTTATACCGTGGGGTTCTAACCAATTTGTTTATTATATATTTTGCATTAATATATATTTTAATTTTTTCCTTCTCCAATGGTAGAACTCATTCGTGATTCTTAATAAAACAAAAAAAAATATGAAAATTATTTTATTTTAAGTAGAATTTTTTTTTTTAAATGAAAAAAATATGAAAACAATTCGACGAATCACACAGTGACAAGTGACAGG